TTCATTAAGTTTTTTATATAATTTCTCGTATGATCTTATTATTTTTTCTTTTCCGTAAATAAATTATACAAAAAACTGTTCAAATGTTTTATTTTTCCAAGCGCTTTTGGCTATACCTTTTTAGCCACTATCAAAAATGAATTATACTCTTAACTGAAAATGGATTGTTGCATGTATATATTTAGCATTATAGAATGTTTTATTTTCAAAACACAGTCAACATATTGTATCCATATTCATAGTTGATATTATTGAGTGTTGTTTTTTTTTGTTTTTATTAATAAGGCTTCCATTATTTTTAGTCTTTTTTTTTTATTTACATGTAGACGATGCTATTATATTTGTATTATCAACATGTATGTTACGAATAGGCTCCGGTAGGTGTCCATGAGTATTTGAATGAGACCTAATTGAGCTATGGTCAGAAAGATGCAGCGTGAGTCTTCTTGTTAAACATGTTGTGGGGTGGCCAATATAATTGTTTAAAAATTTGATTGATGAGGAACACAAGTCCTTAATGGGCATTTAAATTCGTAAATAATATTTGTTCTGTTTAATTTTGATCTAAGGTGAATTATTATTTTAAATATAAGATTGGCTGTTTTAAATTTTTTTTAATAGTCTTATTTTTTTTGTCTACTGGTGTTGTGCATTTTTTATAATTTTCTTAAGTCTAGTTTCATTTTGTTTGTAATTATCATTCATCTGATTTTTATAAAAGATATTGATGCTATTAGTTATGTTTGCATTCTCATCGTTGCTGTTAGCTACCTTAGATAGAAAAAGTCTAATATGGTAAATATATATATATATATATATATATATATATATATATATTAAAGAATTATTGTTATTCATGCGTTCTCCATGCCGATTGTATGTAAAAGTTAGGGTATCTAATCCCGACACTGTTATAAGTCATTAACATTTGGTAAAACATTTATGAAAATATGTTTCGAAAATAATATCTTATAATGCATTTCGCCTCTAACGGCTTCATCAGATGGATAACGAAAATGTTTTTTGCGTGTATGCATTTGTGTGTGTTTAAAAGAATAAAAATCTTATATTATTTTTCCCAAGCTGACATTGCTCGAGACTGAAAGAGAAAGAAAATGAGTGACTTTATAAAAAATAGTTTAACATTTTTTATATTCTCGCTTTTTATATATATATATATATATATATATATATATATATATATATATATATATATATATATATATATAAGTTTATTCTTTAGTTCGAAATTGTACCAGCTGGTATTCAGCTATCGGTCACAAGAAGCAGCCACTCAAATAATTTTTTGGTAAAACTGCTTACAACTAGCAAACTTCGTTCGTACACCCTACAGAAGCATTGTCCTGACGAAAAACAATACGAAAAAAAAAAGAAGCAAATCTCTGATTGAATACATTTTTGCCTGCGAATAAATAAAAGAAGTTTCGTGAAAGATAATTTTGAAGCAAATTGCCATTTCAGACACAGTTCTGCTGCTGCTGCTTCTTCGATTGCAACTACGAAAACGAAGAAGAATACAAGAAAAAAAACCCCAAAAACAAACCAAAAACAAAAACCCAAAACGCAGAAACAAAAAGAAGATTAATTCAACACTACTTTAAATTCATTCTTCTTTCTGACGTTACAATCAATCCCAAAAGCAACTGTTTTGTTTAAGACTTTCTTTGTAGTTCGACGTTCACTGATTTTTTGCTACCGATTCTCGAGCGTCAGTATTGACGTCATCAATCGATATCAGTGACGTCAACAAAACTATCGACAAATCTCCCGCGTTCACTTACTCGCACGTCTTCTTCACTCGAAATCCAAAAAGATACGGTAAGCGTCTTAACTGCGATAAAATGACCGTTTCATATTTCGGTTATGAGCACGACGACATGATCATTGCTGCTAGCTACATTTGGTGGAATTAATCTGTTCATGGCTCTTCAAAGTTACTAAGTGACCACAGTTGAATTTGTAAGGGGAAATAAAGAACTTTCCGATGATGGATTGATTGAGTCATTTCCTACGGCTTATCAACCCTCTGAAGGTTATTTAAAGCCAGAAAATATTTTTAGATTGAAAGAATTTTTTTTAGATAATAATGGTTTAGTGATACGAGTTTTACTAATTAACCCATGTATGGGAAGAGAGGAGGTGGATTCATACCTAATCAGAATTTGCTAAACAAACAGAAAATTATAATAAAGTGGGGGATCAGTAATACGTTACAATCAATATTTAAACTGATCCTTCACTTTGTGATTACGGTTGTTTCTGGACATTTATATTCTAGAGCATTTAAATGTTGTAACCTAGAAAAGGTTTACTGAATGAGGAATAACCAAAACGCAGGTTGGAAATGAAATGGCAATCTTTATAACATCAACAAAATACAATACTCGCCAGCGTCGTGAAGTAGGCAAACCACTTCTAATGGTGGACAAGTTAGACAGCATATTACCCAGCCCCCAACTTACAACAGTGTCCAACGTATTTATGAGCATTGAGGCATGCACATTAGTATTATTGGGTATGGTATATAACAGTAAATAAATCTAAAAAAAAAAAAACATATTTGTATAGCTAATCCGTATTTGATTGATTTATTGAATGATTTGTTTTTTACCTCTTATGAACCCATCGCAGATTATTTAAAGCGAGAAAATATTTTTAGACTGTAAGAATTTTTTTGAGATAAGGATTTAGTGATACAAGTCTTACTAATTAACCCATAGCTGGGGAGAGAAGAGGTGGATTCTTACATTTCCCCAAGGGTATTTGTACGTAAGTGGATATAATGAACCTTAATGAAATTCGAACTCGGCTCTCCGATTAACAACTCCGAGTTGCTGTGGTATTATATCCAAACTTACACCACGGTATTCCCCAGCAGTCACCTATCTAGGTACTATCTCTCTCTCTCTCTCTCTCTCTATATATATATATATATATATATATATATATATATATAGAGAGAGATAGAGAGATAGATAGATAGATATGAAACAGACTGATGACACGTTCGCATAAAAGGAAGTCAGTATCAACAGACAGAAATTTCAAACCTAACCTTAGCCGATTTTCACTTTGCCACCTAAAATTATATTTGTATCTTGTATCAAAACCCACTTAATAAAAAAAAGTGATTCCTAATTCCCCCAGCAACTTAAACTACATAATATTATTTAGCTTATAAATAGAGTAAATCAATTTTTTCGAAAGTTATTCAGCATCGCTTGAAAATGAAACTGAACTTCAAATTTTAAGTTTAATTTAAGATTTAGGTTTTGGTTTCGAAACATGGTCAGTTCTGTGTCGCGATGAATACATATTTTAAAATAATGATAATTATATATATATATATATATATATATATATATATACGTCTAACTTTTGGAAGTCTGGTTCTTTCTACTTTAAATTCGTTTCCATATTTTCACGAGATTTTCTGTCTGTAATCTTTTGGTCATCGACCACCTTTAAAAACTAGAATTCTATAGTGTCTTTAATTACATATTTAATCTAATGTACATATTTAATTTGAACATTCTATAAATTAACAGAAGCTCAACTGGCTCATCTAATTGACCGACTCAAGAGATTTGTATTGAAAAAAAAATCACCAACGCCAAATGTTCGATAAATCGTCACTAAATAGTCATTCAAATTAGTTGAATCGATTTATAGAATATTATAGCTCGAGTTGTGTATTGAGTGTTTTTTGGCAGAAGTTCTGAGATGAAAAATGCGTTAAATTCACGTCATTTTCTGGTGCTACACCATTGAGATTTAAGATGCATATTTCATATTTACAGTCTAAAATTAATACGTCGTCTAAAAACTAGATTTTAATATAAAATATTTTTAGTAAGAATTTAAACTTCCAAAGTCAGAAAAAAATCCACTGAGTATTTTATACCCATTCCTACATTCATCCCAAATCTTGGTTTTTGCGAATTACGTAAAATGAAAAGCTTGAAGAATCTAATACTTTTGGCCATTAACATATTAAATTTGCTGGAAATCCGGAAAACCTCCTACAGATAGAGCTCTTATATATATATATATATATATATATATATATATATCCTATCGCCCGGTTCACACTCCTTCTCCATCTACCGAATAGGAGTAGAGGCTTATCTTTTGTTTCCTGTTTATGATTGAGTTTACGGTCCATTCAAAAGTATTCTTATTCTCCATAACTCCCAGTAACCTCGTGTGTCTTAGTGACATTATCTCCTTGCTTGGGGCGAAATGATTATAAAGAAAAATAGAAATAACTACATACGCGCAAGGGTGGGGGGCGCATGAGCCGTGCGCTGCCCATACGACAAGGCCTCTTTCTCGGCCCTACCGACAAAGGAATACAGGCATTACATGTGGAGATGGCTTAGCTGCAGGAATTGCCGGAAAGTTGTCACTTTTGGAGCTTCAATTGAGGTTTCTGTCTTGATGTACCTCTATAGCCTTTCCCGTGTTTTCATATCACTGTAATGTTGCGGAGGTTTGAAATCAAGGATTTTCTTCCCTTAGATGAACTGTCTTCCTTGGCTGCCGAGTTCCGTCAACCCGAATGCATAAATTAAAAAAAGACATTTCTAAATTCTCCTTGAATTTGGATAAAAGATGGCGCTGGAAAATTTTGCATCTTCCTATTCTCGAATCAAACTGAAAAATATGAATTTCTTATTGCAGGAGTGTTTATTGACCCTTTATTAATTATTTAAAGCTGAAGCATATTTTTGGATTATAAGTATAAAATCTCTTTTCTTTTTGTAAAGAAACATTGCACATTAATATTTTTTTTCAGAATAACAGTTTTCTAGATACAAGTCTCATTTAATCCATAGTTGGAGAGAGAATGAAATGACTTCATACCTTTCCCAAGTGTATTTATGCGTAAGTAAGTAACGAACCCAACTAGAATTGGAAGTCGGCTCCCCGGTTATCAATTCCAAACCATTATCTATTACGTCAACCGAGTGTCTAAGATTACAGCGCCTGGTATTCTCAAGCGATCACCTATCTTACTAATGACCACGCTCGACGTTGCTTAACTTCGGTGATCGTACGGATACCGGGGTTTCAACGCGATGAGGCCATGTCCATAGCTGGCGTGGGGTAGATATGGATTCATATCTTCCCAAGGGTTTGCGCGTAAATAAATATAACGAACCTGAGTGGAATTCGAACGCGGCTCTCCAATTTTGCATTCTGAGCCGCTGTCTGTTATCCACTCGCACATCTTATTAATGCATGACGCAGATTATGTTCAAACAGAGATATGATTTGATTACCGCTTGGTTATATTTGAAATTCTGTTTGTCTAAATCAAATTTTTTTACGTGAAAATTAACTTTTAATAAAACTCTCAAGTTAATTATGCTCTCTTCTTGTAGTTATTTTATGTTTTTTTCTTGTGTATAAAAATGAAAATTAAGTACGGATTTCTAAACAAATCATCCTGTAGACTGCTTCAAAAATAAATATATTTGAAGATATATCATTTGTTAATCCACTTATATATTTATTTCCTTCTTACACTTTTGGGAAAAATCAAAGCATATTTAAACGTACTTACTGAAATCAATTAGGATTTAACTTAAAGGTAGCATTTATACATTTTTAAAAAATTATCTTGAGTTAAAATCCAATTTTGGAACAAACTATCAAAACGAATGTTTTTTGTTTTATTTCTCTAAAACCTGAAACAAGTCTTTTTTTTTTTTTTTTTTTTTGCGGGAATTTTTTTTATCGAAGTCACGTGAGACCCAAACGCATTTCACTGCCCCTCAATTAATAATCTTTGGGAATTAATCATGTTTGTTTGTAGATAATTATTATTATTAAAAAAAAATAAAGGAAAAAAAAACACGTAAAGAAAAAAAAAAGAAAAGCAAAATATCATATCAAGTCGAATATCTCGACTTATATTACGAACGAATTTCCTGAAATAATTTCGTATATCAAATCCGAAAGGGTGAAGACGGGCGAAGTGTAATATGGCGTGGAGAGCAAAGTGAATTCGTATCTCGATGGATTTACAACCGAAATTTCTATCGTGCCTTGCCCAGTGACGGAGCAGGTGTTAGTTGAGATAAGCGAGCCAATTTCTAAACCGAAGCTTTAATCTGTAATGTTGATTAGATTTCAAGGCTCGTGTATATTTTTTCTGCCCAAAGCCTACAAACTGGACTAATTTACTTTCCACGAATCTATCAACTTACCTAACTTATTCTGTACTTGCAGGTTTATCCCATTGATGAAAGCATGGGACGTTAGACTTAAACTTCTATAATATTGTTGAATAGAAAATACACATTATTAAGGCATCACTTAGAAATGTTCTTGTACAATTGTTGTTCTTATTAAGCATTTTTTTAAATTCACCTTTCCTTTCTACTTTCAGCTCATTGCATTCTTCGATAAGAGGGTATTTATTCTGAACAATACAGAATAGTGGCACAAGGCCAAGAGGGAAATGGAGAGAGGACTGTCTTCATTAGCTATCCTAGTCCTAGTTAATCCGACTCACGACCCATTCATTCATAACAATTTACTCATTCAACACAAGAACTCATCCATCACCTCTAAATCTTGCATATACCACAATACCGTATATTCACAGCGGACCTACAAAACAATCCATGATGTAAAAATTTCATGATTCATTTTTCGGTAAGACTGTCGTGATATGGCGAAATTCTTATGACCTCTGTTAATTGTGTTTGTTTTTTGTTGTTGTTTTTTTACTAATTTTTCACCCAATACAAGGCACAAAATCCATTCAAGCTAGAGGGTTACTGAATTAGGTCGTTGTATGAGCAGTAAGAGAAGGAGGTAAGAAGTACATTTTATAAGGATATGTGGGGGAAGATAATGGTCAACCCCAAATTTGAACAGGTTCAGATTGTAGAGGTCAGGAAAGCACTCTCTTTCTTACTCATGAAATACATGAAAGGAAAATGGTCCAGCTCAGTGTACACCGTCTGGCAGGTCTTAGCAGTGAAGGGGTTAGAATTCGTGGAACTAAGGAATGTAGCTCGTCTGATCATTTTCTATGGAATTTAATGAGAGTAACAAGAGGCTTACAACATTTCGTCTGTGCGAAAGGGGTGGTAGAGTGGAAGATAATTCATCACCCACAAGGTCGTGTAGACGCTTATCAAGACTGGGGAGTGATGACGGTTGGATGTTAGTTATCTTTGTTAATTTTAATTGAGTTCCCGCTCCAACAAGAAGTCTGTGTAGCATTGATGTTGTTGACAAGAAAAAGGGGCAATGGCCTACCAGTTCAAATTCCTGTCAAGATTATTGCATTCACTTTTCTTTTTTACAATGATGGTCAACCTGTGCAAGGCCCAAGAACCACTCGAGATAGAAAGTTACAGAGTAAGAAGCACATTTTATGGGGATATATGGTAATATATATGAACAATCACTGTTAAATCTAGACTTGAACAGGTTAAAACTATATTTATCAGGGAAGCATCCTCTTAGGAGTCGGTTCTACAAAGCAATGATTTGTGGGAAGAAGCTGACTGAGTGGAATTTACATTTTGCCAATGGAATACAAAAGGAATATGGATGGTTCCCTATAATGGACGCGGTAGGGTGGGTCTTAACCGTGGGGATTAGAACTAGTAGAATTAAAGATTGTAATTCCCATGGAAATAGCGTCATGCAAATACCATTGGAAAGATATGAATCAATCTTTCTATCCCTAGCTAGAGGTTACTAGATGAGCAGACTAGGCTTTCTAGCATTGGCTGTCAACAAGTTTAAATGATGGGCAACTCTGAATTCAAGATTGGTTAAATGTGGGACTAGCAATTCTACCTAAGAAAAACCTAGTCGCTATGGAAATTATAGAAACACCTCCAAGCATAATGAGGCTGTAGCCTTGAACTTAACAGAGGAGGAGTCTACAGGAATTACATACATGCACTAACAGACTTAATCAGTCCATTAAATCTAGACAAGAGAGAGTTACCAAGACAAAGAAATTAAATAAACAATTATGACCTACCCGTTCTTTATACCTGGCTCCAAAACATTCAGTATGTACCAAGGATTTGTAACGAATTGATAATGAATGGGAATGTTTCGTTTATTTGTTTCCAATCCAACTTTCTTAACCATGAAATGGGATTAAATTCGTGGCAACTAGATACCAATTATTCTGCTACCGTGACGGTAGATGGGGGACAATCCGTAGCCTAATAAGTATGACAAGTTCTCAAATATCCAGGATGCGACTTTTTGTTGAAAACCCCATCTTTATTTTCTATTCATATTAATTACTAAAGAAATGGAGACTAAGAGAATTCTGAGATTTATCTAAGAAGCCATGAAAATAAGGAAAAACTAATAAAAATTAATAATGGTAATTGTTGTAACCTCAGAAGGTTTACAGAATGAGGAATAACCAAAACAGAGGTTGGAAATGAAGTTGGGAAACCACTGCTAGGGGTGGACTAATAAGACAGCATATTCCCCACCACCAACTTACAATAGTGTCCAATGTATTTATGAGGATTGGGACATACCCATTAGTGTTCATGGGTACGGTATATAACAGTTGACAGTTTCCTTAAAAGTAGACAGTGATATATGTGTGTGTGTGTAAGTAATACAATATAAGCTAAAAATTTAAAATATAAAATAAACTGAAGGCTCAATGCCAAAGTCGACAGAGCTTACATATAATAATAATAATAATATAATTGACACAATAATATTAAGATGGCAAACAAAATTCGTTCATCAGTTTCATAGGTATGAATAACAGATTTTGATGACCATCTTAATATTGTATTAATACTACATACACATATATAAGTTCTTATTACTATATGTCCAAAAGAAGAATGAGTCAGCCAAGATGAACTGGGAGTCGCATCAAGACACTTGAGAACATCCTTAGAGGTCGTCCGAATTGACTAGGTTACCTCACCTGAGGATTTTTTGTTCTAAATGAGACCACCTGCAAGTTTATGCGCATTTTTATTCAAATCTTTCACCGTATCGCGTACATTTGACTGTGATGCATGTGCCTTAGGCGATCATGTATCTTTCTGCGGCAGACCAGTTGCCATCCAAGGCTACAGAACACGGTCTGTGCTGCTATTAAGAAGAGGATTCACACCTTTCCCAAGGCTATTAGCACGTAAGTGAATGTAATGGATTTGACTGGAGATCGAACTCGGCTCCCTAATTCCTCAGTCCGAGCCGCTGTTACTCCATTACTCCATCGTGTCTCCAAGTTAGTTATGTGCCATGCGTGATATACGCTTAGGCGATCATGTATCTTTCGATACATGACTGACGACGCAGATTTTTCCCGTAATAGGTTGCCATTTATTTCGGCGGTAGACAAGTTGCCATCCAAGACTATAGAACCTGATCTGGGGGGAAGAAGACGAGGAATCATACCTTTCCTAGGGTATTAGCATGCAAGTGAATATAATGGATTCATTAATCCGGGCTGCTACTCATTACTCCACCGTTACACATATATATTTTCTTATTACTATATGTCCAGAAAAGAAAAATAATTGTCCAATCCCGCAAAATGTTTAATATCTAAAAAAAACAAAAAAAAAAAAAACAAAAAAAAACTAAACTAATCGACTTCCTTTTTTCCAGGTTTTCAGTTAAGATATTTAGCCATTTTCACACCATTTGTCATAACAATCACTGAAACAAACCCTGTTATTCAGCTAGAAAAAAGATTAAAACTGATTAAAATTGTTTTGTGTCATCCCCATTATGTCTTTCCGACTGAGCAAAGGTGAAAGGAAAAAGATCATTCAAACCTTCAGTAATGGTGCCAACATTCATAATATTCTGGGTTCCATCTTCAAAGTCCATTCAAGAACCATCAAGAGAACGCTGAATAAGTTTAAAGAAGAGTTCATAGTAGAGTCCAGTAGTATTATAAGAACCTCGGAGAATTCCAGTAAGATATCTTTAATCATTTCTAAGATACAACGGTTCAAAGTTTAATCTAACAAGTGGATATTTTGATGTTGACAATTTTGCTATTACATTCTAAATATATATATATATATATATATATATATATATATATA